TCCGAGTGCCGGCCCTGCATAGTGCCTCCACGGGCCGGTGGGGAGATCAGAGATCTCCCTCACCGGCCCAGAGGCATGGAGATGCGGCCGCCGGCTGGGTGAGGGAGGGAGGAAGGACCCGGCGGAGCTCTAACAAGCAGCTCCGCCGGGTCCTCTCGCGGGATTCTGAGCGTTGCCGCAGCAACGCTCAGCTCTCGCGAGAGTGAACTCTAACCCGCAGGTTAGAGTTCACTCTCACCACTGGACCACCAGGGAAGCATGCGAGAACGGATCTCCTCCCCCCCTCCCAGGATAAAGGTAAAAAGGGAGGGGAGGGGGAAAATATAACTTTTTTTTATTTTTTATATTAATAAATAAAAAAAAATTATTTAAAATAAATTCCCTAATAGCCCCCTCACACACACAGCACACCCCAGACACCCACAGCACACCCCAGACACCCACACAGCACCCCCCAGACACCCACACAGCACCCCCCAGACACCCACAGCACGCCCCAGACACCCACAGCACCCCCCAGACACACACACACCACCCCCCAGACACACACACACCACCCCAGACACACACACCACCCCAGACACACGCAGCACCCCAGACACCCACAGCACCCAGACACACACACACACCACCCCCCAGACACACACACACACCACCCCCAGACACACACAGCACCCCCAGACACACACAGCACCCCCCAGACACACAGCACACCCCAGACACACACAGCACACACCAGACACCCACAGCACCCCCCAGACACCCACAGCACCCCCCAGACACAAACAGCACCCCCAGACACCCACAGCACCCCCCAGACACACACAGCACCCCCCAGACACACACAGCACCCCTGACACACACAGCACCCTCAGACGCAGACAGCACCCTCACTACCACACACACATATATATATATATATATATATATATATATATATATATAAATAAAATAACCCTCAGTGAGTTAACAGACAAAGAAAATTAGAAACCTAGAATGGGACGGCAGATAAAAACACCCTCACACACAGCACCCCTCTTACACAAACACACTGCGCACCTCACACATACAATACGTCCAAATATATTCTAAATATATATACACACACACACTACAGCACCCCTCACACTGCACCACTACACACATAACGCTCCAGATACACGCTAGATCCCTTACCCTATATGCACTCTTAATCCTCTACACACACACACACACACACACACACACACACAATCTTCTATACACACTGGGTCCTTTACACACACACACTACATTCCTTGTAAGCAAACACATGCAACATTCTCTAAACACACCCTCTCTACAACCCCTACACACGCTACGTCACCTATACACACACACTACTGCCCGTATGTACACACTCGCTACATCCCCTATAACACTATGCCCCTATACACGCACTCTCTACAACCCCTAGCCACATATTACACCACAAAATTGACCTATTTACACAATACCACACCACACTCTACACACAGGCAATCCCACAAGCATGCGCCAAACACATGCACCATACACTTTCCTGGCCCTTTTGTCCTCTGGTATCCCACTTGTGGAGACACCAGAGACAATTTAAAAGCAAACACAGCGCAAGCATGTTATTAAATTTGCTTGCGCTGCGCAGAACAAATTCAGGGCCTTTTTCTAATGCTAGAGCTCTTCAGCGGGGCTCTGCGCATTGAACCAACATGCTCACTTTGAGAGGGGGCGTGTTGTCATTAGTGATGACAAAACACACCCTCTCTGGCCCCGCCCCCTTCTTGGGGGGCCGCTCTAATTGAAAAATGCCCGGGCCTAATTTTTTTCCCAGTCCGGCCCTGCTCAGCAGTACAGGAGAGCAGGCAATACATACCAGGGGCCATAGTCACATGGCAGGAGGCTGGCAATCAGTCTTCTTCAATGCCCAGTGGTGAGGCTGGTTCCGCCACAAACAGTACCCCTCAAGTATAGGTTTTTAATGTGATTTGGAAAGTTACAGGGTCAAACGTGCCTTTGAGACGGTATGGCAGCCCAGAAATGAAAATTAACCCCACCATGACATACCATTTAACCCCTTAAGGACACATGACGTGTGACATGTCATGATTCCCTTTCATTCCAGAAGTCCGTAAGGGGTTAAAAAGGTAGACAGCCCAGGGTATTCAAAATGGGGTATGTCCAGTTTTTTTGTAGTAGCCGCTTAGTCACAAACACTGGCCAAAGTTAGCATTTATATTTGTTTGTGCGTGAAAAATGCAAAAAAATGAATATGAACGCTAACTTTGGCCAGTGTTTGTGACTAAGTGGCTACTAGAAAAAAACTAGACATACCCCATTTGCAATACCTTGGGTTGTCTACATTTGCAAATGGTATGCCATCACGGGGGTTCTTATTCCTGGACTACCATACGATCTCAAAGGCAACATAACCAATTTGGCAAATTTCATTGAAAAAAATGAAATGAGCAAGCCTTATATTTGACCCTGTAACTTTCAAAAACACTATAAAACCTGTACATGGGGGTACTGTTATACTCAGGAGACTTCACTGAACACAAATGTTAGTGTTTCAAAACAGTAAAATGTATCATGACGATAAAATCACTAGTGAAAGTGCAATTTTTGTTTAAAAAATTTAAAAAACTAATAAAAACGCTAACTTTGGCCAGCGAGAGAAATGGTATATAATATGTGTGGGTACAGTAAATGAGTAAGAAGAAAATTACAGCTAAACACAAACACTGCAGAAATGTAAAAAAAAGCCCTGGTCCTTAACGGTAAGAAAATTTAAAAGCGGTCTGGTCACTAAAGGGTTAAGCAATGAATGTTTATAAACCTACTAAAATCTTTGTCAGTTTGTATTCTATGGCCTTTAAGCTAGGTTTCATCTCCCTGCAGTCCGCTTCTATCCACCCATCTCACGTGAACTAGCCCTGGGCCATGCATGAGAATCTGCCACTTTTATTATACGAGCTCAAACGATGCTAAGAGTCAGGGAAACAGAAAGAAACAGCAGCTGTAACGATAGTTTGTGTCCAGCTTCCATCAGGAAGGGGATGGATAACAGTCCTTTTTTGAATTTGCACTGTGGGAGTTTTATGGTGTTCAGTTTCACCCCAATCATGTTGGTACCCAGCAATATGCTCTCAGCGAGACGTCAACTTCCGACCAGAACCGACACCACAAGGATGTAGCCATATGGTCCTCCCCCTCTCCCCCAAAAAAGTGATGTTTAACACAGCGTCCATTGCAAAAGGTCTCTGCAGAAACCCAGTGTGAAGTCTGACACACGATGCATGTCCAGCTGGGAACTCTGGGATAGTTGTGAAAACATGATTTCTATGGCAAATGAGGATTTCTTAAAGTCCAGCTTGACACACGCAGGTGATGAGACACAAGAGTAATTATTTTATTTGTGGGGAATTTTATCGTGTTTTGGCCTCAGCACGATATCTATATATATATATATATATCCAAATAGGTTATGGTGGGGAAAAATTGTGATTGAAAACCCCTTCCCCCTGAGGTCTGTGGATAGTTAATACAATGTTAAACAAAAATCTGCACACCAGCCAAGCCATAAGACTTGCTTTTCCCACAGAGATCCCAAATCTGCAGTGATGTTACAACCGCAACAGATTCTGGGTGGGCATATGCAAATTAGTTTAGCAAAGAATCACATTTTTGCCTCATTCCATTTTAAACATGGATTCCTTTTAATCTGTGTTTGCAGTATACAACAGCTTGGAACACAATTTAGGAAAAAATGCAAAAGATGTGGTTCGCTGGTTTTGCATCTTTTCCTATATTGTGTTTCAAGCTGTTGTATGAAGCCCAGTTGCAGGAGATGGCACAAGGAGGAGACATAATCCAAAAACACAGTACAGATAAAGGGGCAATCCAAAGCAGGGTCAGACGAGAAGTCAGGGCTGGCAGCGGAGTAACAAGTCGGTAAATCAGTCAGTAGCGAAGCAGAGATCTGGCAGGAAACACCAAACAGGCAAAAATGACCAGATGTCTCAGGCAGGGCTGGCTTTTACAGCCTGCTAATTAGGTGCAGCTGACCCTAATTGGAAAAGGGCTGCAGGTTGATCAGGGTTGCTTAATCCAGGCAAGGGGGTCAGGAAGCAGAAAAATGCAAACTGAAACTGAAGCTTTGTTTTGGACAGCACGGCAGAGAACCTGACTGGGATGCTGGAGCAGTGAGTTCAAACCCAGCTAGGTCTCTTAAAGGGGCAAGCCACACTTTGCTGTCTGCAGGGCTTGGGCTGTGCCATGAAAGATGGTGTACTGTCTCAGTCTGAATCCAAGCTAATTATTAATTAATAAGTCTAATAATTGCTGCTTCTCCAGTCAGGTCAATCTTGATACATCAACACATTTGAGCCTCAGCAGAAGTCACCAGTCCATAAAGGAGAAGATGGTCATTGAGATTCCAGCTCTAGGACGGCCGTTCTCTCTTGGGATGTTGTATGATTGCCGGGATGATAAACTGATTCCAGGTACAATGTGCTCAGTCTTTACATTCAACAAACAAGCTTCAAATTGGCCTGATCCATACTGCCATGCTCATTTAATGTCTTTAGTATTATTATTGCCATTTATATACCGCCGACAGATTCCGTAGCACTTTACAATATTATAAGAGGGGGAATTTAACTGTAAGTAGGACAACTACAAGAAAACTTACAGGAAAGATAGGTTGGAGAGGACCCTGCTCAAACAAGCTTACAGTCTAAAGGAGGTGGGTGTAAAAAACAATAGGACAGGGGATATCAATCAAGTAACGTTGAGAGAGCTGGAGGAGAGAGTAGAGTGCTGCCCTTTAGAAGAGGGCAAGAGACAGGTATATGAGGTCGATGTTACTCTGGGAGGCCATAATCTTTCCTACAGAGATGGGTTTTAAGGCATTTGTTAAACGATTCAAGACTAGGAGAGAGTCTGATGGTGGTAAGCCAGCTATTCCATAGGAAGGGAGCTGCTCGCGAGACGTCCTTTAAGTGTGAGTTGGCTGTACGCGTGCAAGCAGCGGACAGGAGAAAGTCTCGGGCAGAGCGGAGAGACCGAGAAGGGGCATACCTATGGATCAGTGAAGAGATATAAGAGGGGCTTTATTACTCAGTGCTTTATAGGTATGGGCTAGCACTTTGAATTGACTCCTATAGCATACAGGAAGCCAATGTAAGGACTAACAGAGAGGTGAGGTGTGAGAGGACCGACTAGAGAGGAAAATCAGTCTGGCGGCACCATTCATTACAGACTGTAGTGGGGCAATATGGCTTTTGGGAAGACCAATCAGGAGAGGGTTACAATAATCCCTACGGGAAATTACTAGAGCGTGGACAAGCTTCTCGGTAGCATCTTGCGTAAGAAAGGGGCTTATGCAGGCTATGTTTTTAAGTTGGAATCTACAGGATTTGGTAACAGACTGGATGTGAGGCTCAAAGGTGAGGCCAGAATGAAGTATGACACCAAGACAGCGCGCTTGCAAGGATGGACTGATGTGGGTACCACTAACTTGAAGGGAGAGCGAAAGAGGAGAATCCGTATTAGGAGGAGGAAGGAAAGACAAGAGATTTAGTTTCAGAAAGCGAGAGGACATCCAGTCAGAGATGGAAGAAAGTGACACATTGCAAGGTGGCAGGGGAGAGGTCCGGGGAGGAGAGATATATCTGGGTGTCATCAGCGTACAGGTGGTAGCCAAATGAGGTAATACGTTTGCCAAGAGAGGCAGTATAAAGAGAAAATAGAAGGGGACCAAGGACAGAGCCTTGGGGGACTCCAACCGAGACAGGACGAGGGGAGGAGGTGTCATTAGAGAAGGAGACACTGAATGAGCGTTGGGAAAGATAAGAGGAAACCCATGAGAGGACAGAGTCACAGAGACCGAGTGATTGAAGAGTTTGAAGGAGGAGAGCATGATCAATGGTGTCAAAGGCAGCAGAGGGGGAATAAAATAACTAACCTGTAAATTAAAATAAAACTTACCATTTGATGTCTTCTTTCTTTTAAAATCTTCATTTTTCAAGGAGTATTAATATGGAGTAGTGACCTTTGGATTTAGCTGCGATTAGGTCATTAGTAACTGTGATAAGAGCAGTCTCAGTAGTGGAGAGGGTGGAAGCCAGATTGAAGAGGGTCAAGGAGAGAGTTGGAATTGAGGAAGTGAGACAAGTCTTTCCAAAAGCTTTGAGGAAAAATGGAGCAGGGATATGGGACGATAGTTAGAGGGGGAGGTTGGGTCGAGGGATGTTTTTTTCAGGATAGGTACTACAGTGGCATGTTTAAGGTCAGCAGTGACAATGCCAAAAGAGAGCAAGCAGCTGAAGATTTGTGTTAAGGAAGGCACAAGACAAGGGGAGAGAGATCTGATAAGGTGAGACAGGACAGGATCGAGCGGGCAAGTGGGGGGGGGCTATAGGAGAGGCGCAGCCACCTCTTTTTCAGTAGCCGGGGAGAGAGTCTGAAGGGTAGAAAATACAGGATCTACGTGTGGTTGAGAAAGAGAATGGCAAGGTGGTGAGAATTCTTTCCATAGCTTTTCAATCTTGTCGTTAAAGTAGCATGCAAAGCTATCAGCAGTAAGGTTAGTTTGGGGGGTGGCCACAGCAGGGCAAAGAAGAGAATTAAAGGTGTCAAAGAGACACCTGGGATTGCGGGAGCATGAACTAATGAGAGAGGAAAAGTATGACTGTTTGGCGAGGACAAAGGCTGCGCTGTATGAACATAATATAATGGAGAAAGTCTGACTGGGTGCGAGACTTCCTCCAGGAGAGTTCAGCACAACGGGAGCATCTATGCAGGTAGCGTGTTGATTTAGTGTGCCAAAAATGTTAGCAGAGAAGGATTTGAAAAGGCGACTCAAATGGATTTCAAATGAGGAGAAAGAGAGGGAAGGGCGGGTGGGTAGAGGTTTGAAGGAGCAGTGAGCACCTTTACTTTCAGATTGTCTTGGGTTGTGGGTAAGTTGAAGGCCGCCAAAAGATAAAGATGCAGTGGTAGCAGTGTCAGAGGGGGATAGCCATGTTAAGGCTAGTAAATCTAGGGAATGAAAGATGAAGAGGTCGTGGACAGCAGTGGATTTTGTAATATTGCAAACAGAGCGTGCATTCCAGAGGGCAGTATTGTAGGAGGATTTAGAGGAAGAGTAACATGAGATGGGTATGAGATTGGTGTGGTCCTTGAGTTAGTACATGGTGGGTTTGCCAAGATGGGACAGGGGTTTGGAGAGACATCATCAGCTGCTAGGAGCAGAAGGATAGAAAGGAAGTGAAGCTGGGAGAAGGATTTGAAAGTTTTGTAGGAGGGTGTGTATATAGAGGAATTGGGTGGGATTGGAGGAAATAGGCTGGAGAGGTATGTGTAGAGTGCATGGGATAAATAGAGAGGGGAGGGGAGTAAAGTGGAAGTAATGAAGATGGTGTTGCCAGGGACAGGTGAGCGATAGGGATATTTTAGTAATGACAGAAGTTAATGTGAAAGTGAAAAATAGAAGGGAGAACATTATTTAGAGAAAATGTGATATAGATATGAAGATTATACATATGCACGTATATAATCATAGACATATACAGACACACACATATGTGTTCTGGGAGTTACTAATCAATGCTATTGTTTTTTTTTTTTTAAATTGCATGCTCAAATCGTCATAGTTTTTGCACAAAAAAGTTTTGCAGAAATAAATATATATTATATATTAAACAAATAAAATAAATATATATATATGTTTTGCAGAATGCTGCACCATAAGCCGGCCTTGTTAGCCAAAAAGACTCCCTTATCAATGTATGCACACAGCTCAGCCATTGACAGCACTGAGTGAGCTGTCTTTAAGTCACAGAGAAATTACAAACAGGGACTGAAATCCTTACTATGTCTCATTCTCATGCAGGTTGGTTTGTTCAGATCACTCAGTGCTGTCAGTGGCTGAGCTGTGTGCATACCTTGATACGGAAGGTCTTTTTCTGGAGTGAGGGCTAAAGAGGCAGGATTATGGGGCATCATTCCGCAAAGCATATATTTATCTATTCATTTTATTTAATATATGATATACATTTATTTATTTTATGCACAAACTGTAAAAATTGGAGCTTGCACAGAAATACAGCACATTAACCCCTTAAGGACACATGACATGTGTGACATGTCATGATTCCCTTTTATTCCAGAAGTTTGGTCCTTAAGGGGTTAATGAGGCCAAAACATCGGTGCATGGACTGTCCCTTTAAATTAAAATAAAAACTGTTCTACTGGGCAGATTTTGTAGCTTTAATAAAGACCCCCAGTGTCTTTACCATCACCGCATGTGACGTGAGACTCAGGTGAAAATAAAATATTATATAATAAACGTAACGATCTCACCACGTCTTTCTTTCTACAATGGGGAACTTACAATGTGATGCTTTCTAACATGTTTTGTCACAGTGCTCACATGTCTTGGTCTATGCTGGGTTCCACACCTAGATTTCATTTCCTCCCCCTAACCAGTCTGTTCTTATTTCCTTACAAAATTACCTATTTATCCCATGTGTCACTGCACATCTCGTGTGAAATCTATAAAATACATCTATGTGCACTTTGTCCTGCTTCTGTGTTATCACTTAGTGTGCCCTATTGTCCTCCACGTGATACACAGAGCTTGGCCTTCAACTGTCCTACATGTGATACATACAGCCCGGCCTTTTCTTGTCCTTCACGTGATACATACAGCCCGGCCTTCTCCTGTCCTACAAGTGACACACAGCCCGGCCTTCTCCTGTCCTTCAAGTGATACATACAGCCCGGCCTTCTCTTGTCCTTCACGTGATACATACAGCCCGGCCTTCTCCTGTCCTACAAGTGACACATACAGCCTTCTCCTGTCCTTCACGTGATACATACAGCTGGGCCTTCTCCTGTCCTTCACGTGATACATACAGCCCGGCCTTCTCCTGTCCTACACGTGATACATACAGCCCGGCCTTCTCCTGTCCTACAAGTGACACATACAGCTGGGCCTTCTCCTGTCCTACAAGTGATACATACAGCCCGGCCTTCTCCTGTCCTACACGTGATACATACAGCCCGGCCTTCTCCTGTCCTACACGTGATACATACAGCCCGGCCTTCTCCTG